AGGAGTCCTTTGCAAGAGCAAAAAATTGGGTTAAAGAGCTTCAGAGACAAGCAAGTCCTAACATTGTAATAGCTTTATCAGGAAACAAGGCTGACCTAGCAAATAAAAGAGCTGTAGATTTCCAGGTATGTTGAACTTATCTTGCACTTAAAGGTACTTAGTTTTGGTAAATTTTTCTGTTGTATCAGCTCTTGAATTAGTTAATTTAAAGCCATACAAATGCAGATCTTCAAAACAAATATGAAGTTCTACATGTTTGATAAACTTTATTTTAATATTATTATAATATGTAAATTTATTCAAAGATTTTGAAGACCTAAACAATTATAAATGAAGTAATTGTTCACAGTGCAAAAACATATAACACAAAAAATGATTGCCCCGTACCCTAACTCCTCCACGCCACATGTACTTCAACGAGTGTTTTTAACCCTTTCCTACTGATGTATGACTATTTTTCAACACACATGCATGCTCGTGTATATATACACACACTCATGATTATTCTTAAGATATTCCAAAATACTAAAAAAATTCAGTTTGTGTTTGTTGTTATCTATAATGGCTAATTTAGAATTTTCCTTGGTGCAAAATAGAGCAAGTGTGATCATTTAAAAACAAAGGAAATTAAGACCTTTTAAAACTACACCTGATCTCTTGCTCTTTGGCTTCTCTGTCAGAGAAGCTTGGTTGTGGCTGTTATACATCTAATATCAGTGATGGAATTCTTTCTTTCTTGATGATGACAATAAAGGGAATGCAGGACGGAATACATAACACTGGAAGAAGATGGTTTCTTGTACCATTAGGTATTGGGCTTAGCATGTACTAAACAAGTGGGTTCATTTTATTCTTGTAAAAACTATTTGAGATGTAGCATCATCTATTAACTTTTTCTAAGATGATTACCTGCCCAGCATAGAGAGAGCATCTATGGTCAAAGCTAGCCCTATCACGTAACATTTCAATAACATTTCAGTTATTTCTCTGTCAGATGGGAAAGATAATTGTTCCTTATGATGTCTGTGAAGAGCAATGGTAATAATATATGTAAATTGTAAAGTCATGACAAAAAAGTAGGGCAGGGTGGTGCCTATGGCTCAGTGGGTATGGTGCTGGCCACATATACCGAGGGTGGTGGGTTCGAACCTAGCCCTGACCAAACTGCAACAAAAAATACCCAGGTATTATGGCGGGTGCCTGTAGTCCCAGCTACTCTGGAGCCTGAGGCAAGAGAATCACTTAAGCCCAGGAGTTGGAGGTTGCTATGAGCTGTGATGCCACAGCCATGGCTATCTCAAAAAAAAAAAAAAAAAAAATGTAGGGCAGTAATGTAATTTTTAAAAGAATGATTCGTGATTTTCAGAGTTATAATGTTGCTATAGAAGTCATTCAAAATTAAATAACGGTGTCATTTAGTGGTTCAAGCCAGTGTTAGATATTTGGTTAACTTTGTGTTTATTGCAGATAAATAGTTTTATATTTAGAATAGGATAATTTTCCTCTCATTATTTGAAAGCAGATTTAATATAAGAACAGATGAAGCAGGGTGGGATAGAAATTAAGGCCAAAAAGAAAATATTCCATTATAAAATAATCCTACACTGTGCTCTTGGTGGAAGCTTATTATATGTAATCAGGTTGAAGTAGTAATAAGTAAGCCTTCTTTTTTCTGTAACAAAAATAAAGCAGGTATAGTAGATGTCCAAGGAATATATATCTTATTTTTTGTTCTGTGAACAGGAAGCACAATCTTATGCAGATGATAACAGTTTATTATTCATGGAGACATCTGCCAAAACATCAATGAATGTGAACGAAATATTCATGGCAATAGGTAAGATTAGTATCTTTTTTTAAATGATAAATACAGGCAAAACAAATATAGAGTGTATTTGGTTTGACTGTATCTTTAAAAGAAAATGGTTTTTGTTTTTTCTGATCATACTACTTTTCTATGCCCCCTTTTACCAAGCAGAACTTTGTTGGTAATATTGTTAAATTTGAAAGATGACTGCCTATTAGGTCGTAATACTATCTATTTAGGTAAGTTTCTTCCTAGATTTTGATCTGACAGTTTAAGCAGATAGATGTTCCAGAGTTTTCACTGAAAACTTTAGATAGATATATATTTTTCCATTAGGTTATACTTATATAAAATAGAAGGTAATGTTCATTAATGCGACATTCAGGCACAATGAGAGACTTCTTTCTTGCTAATCAGTAACTTTATCTCCTTTGTCTTGAATAGAGCACTGGGTTTAAATATAACTGAGAGAAGTACATGATAATTGATACATAGAGATTAGAGAGAGATTAGAAAACTCTCTTAATAAACATTGTAATGGAGGTGATTTCAGAGCACAGAGGTATAGGGAGAAAGAGAGAAAGCAAAACAACATCTGTGCCTTCATAGTACCTCAAATGGTCATGTGATCTTACGCAGTGCTTTTACCTTTACTTTAAGGTATTTTTAACTGATGGTAATTGCTATTTTTGATTATAGGTAATTGCAGTTTTTGATTATAGGTAATGAAGTTGGAGTAGTAATAAGCTCCCTTTTTCCTTTCCACAAAAAAAGGTATTTTTTTTTGACCCTAACCTTCCAGTTGATTTAAGGTACAGGTTCCATCAAAGGGGGTCTGCTTTGGTGGCTTTCACAGTTCACTCTCTGCAGTTTTCATGTACCCAGCCCTCTTCTTGTTTCATAACATCATCTTTTATACAGCATTGATTCTTAACTAGGTGTCCATAGTCCTAACTTCAAATAAAAAATATTCTTCAATCGAACTTACATAAATTAACCATAGCTCAATCCAAGCCTAAAGAAAACTCGGTAAAAGCTGTAGATACTCTTTTGTTATTTTTCATTAAGAGACAAAGCTTAATGGTGGTTCATTCAAAATGGAAACACTTGGCCTACTTGTATATAATATTTTCTTGAAAAACTCAGGCTTAGGCGGCACCTGTGGCTCAAGGAGTGGGGCACTGGCCCCATATAGCAGGGGTGGCAGATTCAAACCTGGCCCCAGACCAAAAAAAAAGAAAAACTCAGGCTTGTAGTTTGCCTCAGAAATAGTAACACAGTTGTGAAGGATTGTGTATATGTTTTTTATTTGTTTGTTTAAACAAATGGGACATACCCAGAATTACATCTGGAAAGGTAGTAATAAGCAAGGAGGTGGCTCAGCACCCACAACACAGTGGTTACAGTACCAACCACATACACAAGGGTGACGGGTTCAACCCTGACCCAGGCCAGCTGCAGCAAGAAAAACAGCCAGACATTGTGTTGGGCTCCTGTAGTCCCAACTATTGGGAGGCTGAGGCAAGAGAATCACTTAAGCCCAAAGTTTGAGGTTGCTGTGAGCTGTGACACCACAGCACTCTACCAAGGGTGACGTAGTGCGAGACTGTCTCAAAAAAAAAAAAAAAAAAAAGAAAGAAAAGAAAAGAAAGAAGCAGCAGCCACAGCAAGGAGGTAATAGGTTTCTCAAATCCACCTAGACTTTAAACATTTCTTATTGTATTAACACTCTAACACACGGGTTTCAACTTGTATCTTTTATTTAAATGTGTTAATAAGAAGGCCAGGAATGGTAGTTCACTGTAATCCTAGCACTCTGGGAGGCCCAAGTGGGTGGATTGCTTGAATGCAGAAGTTCAAGACCAGCCTGAGCAAGAGCAAGACCCTGTCTCTAAAAATAGCTGGGCATCATGGAAGGGCACCTGTAGTCCCAGCTACTTGGACAAGAGAATCATTTCAGCCCAGGAGTTTGAGGTTGCTGTGAGCTGTGACACCATGGCACTCTACCAAAGTCAACAAAGTAAGACTCTGTCTCAAATAAATAAACAAATGTGTTAATAAAGTCATTTTTCCAGTTAGTAAGCCTACATATTAGAGTTTTTAGGTTTTTTTCTGAAATCAGATGTTTCCCTTCTTAAAAGAAATCCCAGGGCGGCATCTGTGCCTCAGTGGGTAGGGCGCCGGCCCCATATACCAAGGGTGGTGGGTTCTAACCCGGCCCTGGCCAAACTGCAATAAAAAAATAGCCGGGCGTTGTGGTGGGCACCTATAGTCCCAGCTACTCGGGAGGCTGAAGCAAGAGAATCACCTAAATTCAAGAGCTGGAGATTTCTGTGAGCCATGACGCCAAGGGCGTCAAAGTGAGACACTGTCTCTTAAAAAAAAAAAAGAAAGAAAAAGAAAAGAAAGAAATCCCAAGTGTAAATGGAGTTGTGGTTTTTCTGTTGCCTCCACAAGATTAGTAACGTAAAATCACACAGTGCTCTCAACAATGCAACTAAAACAAAGTTCCTCATTCTGGATTACTTCCTTCAGCCTCCTCAAATTTAAATATAGAAAACCCTAAAGGAGTATACTAAAGGGAAAAATAATCACCTAGGCTCAGCACCTGTGGCTCACGTGGCTAAGGTGCCAGCCACATACACCTAAGGTGGCAGGTTCAAATCCAGCCTGGGCCGCCAAACAACAATGACGGCTGCAAACAAAAAATAGCCGGGTGTTGTGGCGGGCACGTATGGTCCCAGCTACTTGGGAGGCTGAGGCAGGAAACTCGCTTGAGCCCAGGAGTTGGA